CAGAGATTTAGCTGATTTACCTCTATATAACCATTAAAAAAACATATACAGAGACTCATACTTGACCTACTAACCCGGTCACCAGCTAATACTAGCAGTAAAGGGAAACAATGATATTGCAACTTCTACTAAGAGAACCATTTGTTCACAAGAACCCGTCCCCCCCCCCCCCCCCCCCCACCCCCCCCCCCCCCCCCCCCCCCACCCCCTCCCAACCAAATCCTATTTTAGTAAATATAATAGATTCTGGTTCTCCTGAACATTTGCGCAGGTTCATATAATAAGATACCATTCAAACAAGTGGTTGTCTGGGCATTTATCTTATTCCATCACCTGAATTCATTCCACTGAATGTTCAACAATTTCCTTAAGCATCTGTTCATAAAACATAGTAGCTCTCTACCTCTCTCCTTCTCTCTCACACATGCACACACATACACACATACAAAGACATATAAAGAGACAGAGAGCACAGCACCTACCTGAGAAACCTGCTAATGTCCTCATCTTTCGCCCACATTGCACTGATGATTCTTTTCTCATCAGAGCCATGCTGTACAATATCTGGAAAAAAAAAAACATACATTCAAGAAACAACATCTCAAGGATAAAACAAAAAACCAACATGTCATTAAAAAAAAAACACACTCTATGCTAACAAATAATGCAAGATTAATGGAAAGTGTGGTGCTGGTAGTGTGGTGCTGGTAGCGTGGTGTTGTAGTGTGGTGTTGTAGTGTGGTGCTGGTAGTGTGGTGTTGGTAGTGTGGTGCTGGTAGTGTGGTGCTGGTAGTGTGGTGCTGGTAGTGTGGTGCTGGTAGTGTGGTGCTGGTAGTGTGGTGCTGGTAGTGTGGTGCTGGTAGTGTGGTGTTGTAGTGTGGTGTTGTAGTGTGGTGCTGGTAGTGTGGTGCTGGTAGTGTGGTGCTGGTAGTGAGGTGCTGGTAGTGAGGTGTTGTAGTGTGGTGTTGTAGTGTGGTGTTGTAGTGTGGTGCTGGTAGTGTGGTGTTGGTAGTGTGGTGCTGGTAGTGTGGTGCTGGTAGTGTGGTGCTGGTAGTGAGGTGCTGGTAGTGAGGTGTTGTAGTGTGGTGCTGGTAGTGAGGTGCTGGTAGTGTGGTGTTGTAGTGTGGTGCTGGTAGTGTGGTGCTGGTAGTGTGGTGCTGGTAGTGTGGTGCTGGTAGTGTGGTGCTGGTAGTGTGGTGTTGTAGTGTGGTGTTGTAGTGTGGTGCTGGTAGTGTGGTGCTGGTAGTGTGGTGCTGGTAGTGTGGTGCTGGTAGTGAGGTGCTGGTAGTGAGGTGCTGGTAGTGTGGTGTTGTAGTGTGGTGTTGTAGTGTGGTGTTGTAGTGTGGTGTTGTAGTGTGGTGTTGTAGTGTGGTGTTGGTAGTGTGGTGTTGGTAGTGAGGTGCTGGTAGTATGGTGCTGGTAGTGAGGTGCTGGTAGTGAGGTGCTGGTAGTGAGGTGCTGGTAGTGAGGTGCTGGTATTGTGGTGCTGGTAGTGAGGTGCTGGTATTGTGGTGCTGGTAGTGTGGTGTTGTAGTGTGGTGTTGTAGTGTGGTGTTGGTAGTGTGGTTCTGGTAGTAAGGTGCTGGTAGTGAGGTGTTGTAGTGTGGTGTTGTAGTGTGGTGTTGTAGTGAGGTGCTGGTAGTGTGGTGCTGGTAGTGAGGTGTTGTAGTGTGGTGCTGGTAGTGAGGTGTTGTAGTGAGGTGTTGTAGTGAGGTGCTGGTAGTGAGGTGTTGTAGTGAGGTGTTGTAGTGAGGTGTTGTAGTGAGGTGCTGGTAGTGTGGTGCTGGTAGTGAGGTGTTGTAGTGTGGTGTTGTAGTGTGGTGCTGGTAGTGAGGTGCTGGTAGTGTGGTGCTGGTAGTGAGGTGTTGTAGTGTGGTGTTGTAGTGAGGTGCTGGTAGTGAGGTGTTGTAGTGTGGTGCTGGTAGTGTGGTGCTGGTAGTGTGGTGCTGGTAGTGTGGTGCTGGTAGTGTGGTGCTGGTAGTATGGTGCTGGTAGTGTGGTGCTGGTAGTGTGGTGCTGGTAGTGTGGTGCTGGTAGTGTGGTGCTGGTAGTGTGGTGCTGGTAGTGTGGTGCTGGTAGTGAGGTGCTGGTAGTGAGGTGCTGGTAGTGAGGTGCTGGTAGTGTGGTGCTGGTAGTGTGGTGCTGGTAGTGTGGTGCTGGTAGTGTGGTGCTGGTAGTGAGGTGCTGGTAGTGAGGTGCTGGTAGTGTGGTGCTGGTAGTGAGGTGCTGGTAGTGTGGTGCTGGTAGTGTGGTGCTGGTAGTGAGGTGCTGGTAGTGAGGTGCTGGTAGTGAGGTGCTGGTAGTGAGGTGCTGGTAGTGAGGTGCTGGTAGTGTGGTGCTGGTAGTGAGGTGCTGGTAGTGTGGTGCTGGTAGTGTAGTGCTTGTAGTGTGGTGCTGGTAGTGTGGTGCTGGTAGTGTGGTGCTTGTAGTGTGGTGCTGGTAGTGAGGTGCTGGTAGTGAGGTGCTTGTAGTGTGGTGCTGGTAGTGAGGTGCTGGTAGTGAGGTGCTGGTAGTGTGGTGCTGGTAGTGAGGTGCTGGTAGTGTGGTGCTGGTAGTGTGGTGCTGGTAGTGTGGTGCTGGTAGTGAGGTGCTGGTAGTGTGGTGCTGGTAGTGTGGTGCTGGTAGTGAGGTGCTGGTAGTGTGGTGCTGGTAGTGAGGTGCTGGTAGTGAGGTGCTGGTAGTGAGGTGCTGGTAGTGAGGTGCTGGTAGTGAGGTGCTGGTAGTGAGGTGCTGGTAGTGAGGTGCTGGTAGTGTGGTGCTGGTAGTGAGGTGCTGGTAGTGTGGTGCTGGTAGTGTGGTGCTGGTAGTGAGGTGCTGGTAGTGTGGTGCTGGTAGTGTGGTGCTTGTAGTGTGGTGCTGGTAGTGAGGTGCTGGTAGTGAGGTGTTGTAGTGAGGTGCTGGTAGTGTGGTGCTGGTAGTGAGGTGCTGGTAGTGAGGTGCTGGTAGTGTGGTGCTGGTAGTGAGGTGCTGGTAGTGTGGTGCTGGTAGTGTGGTGCTGGTAGTGAGGTGCTGGTAGTGTGGTGCTGGTAGTGTGGTGCTGGTAGTGAGGTGCTGGTAGTGAGGTGCTGGTAGTGAGGTGCTGGTAGTGTGGTGCTGGTAGTGAGGTGCTGGTAGTGTGGTGCTGGTAGTGAGGTGCTGGTAGTGAGGTGCTGGTAGTGAGGTGCTGGTAGTATGGTGCTGGTAGTGAGGTGCTGGTAGTGAGGTGCTGGAAGTATGGTGCTGGTAGTGTGGTGCTGGTAGTGTGGTGTTGGTAGTGAGGTGCTGGTAGTGAGGTGCTGGTAGTGTGGTGCTGGTAGTGAGGTGCTGGTAGTGTGGTGCTGGTAGTGAGGTGCTGGTAGTGAGGTGCTGGTAGTGAGGTGCTGGTAGTGTGGTGCTGGTAGTGTGGTGTTGTAGTGAGGTGCTGGTAGTGTGGTGTTGTAGTGAGGTGCTGGTAGTGTGGTGTTGTAGTGAGGTGCTGGTAGTGTGGTGTTGTAGTGAGGTGCTGGTAGTGTGGTGTTGTAGTGAGGTGCTGGTAGTGTGGTGTTGTAGTGAGGTGCTGGTAGTGAGGTGCTGGTAGTGTGGTGCTGGTAGTGTGGTGCTGGTAGTGTGGTGCTGGTAGTGAGGTGCTGGTAGTGAGGTGTTGTAGTGTGGTGCTGGTAGTGAGGTGCTGGTAGTGAGGTGTTGTAGTGTGGTGCTGGTAGTGAGGTGCTGGTAGTGAGGTGTTGTAGTGAGGTGCTGGTAGTGAGGTGCTGGTAGTGAGGTGCTGGTAGTGAGGTGCTGGTAGTGAGGTGCTGGTAGTGAGGTGCTGGTAGTGAGGTGCTGGTAGTGAGGTGCTGGTAGTGTGGTGCTGGTAGTGTGGTGCTGGTAGTGAGGTGCTGGTAGTGAGGTGCTGGTAGTGAGGTGCTGGTAGTCATGTTTGTCCATAACTTAATGTTTCACATGCTGTTAGTCACTTCTGATACAGATGTTCTTCCACGTCATGATATCTAATGATTGCCCAACAGTTTCCTTCTAGTTCTTCCTTCCCCTCCAACTTTCCCAAAGTCAGGATGTTTACCCCTTCAAACAATGTACCCACAACACAATACATGTCTCCTTATAATTAAGTAAATAGTTCTCTTTGTGAGTTATTTTATATCAAGACATGTTTATTCTCCTTTTACTCTGTCCATTGTTATGTTATCACAAATGACGTCTTTGCACATCCTCATGCATGCTTGGATCCGCATGCCTGCTTAGTCCTCTGATGCAGCAGCCACTCCACGGTACCAATACTGACTGTTCCCATGAGGAGTTGGTTATAATATCTCCTGTCTTTACCTCAAAGACGGGATAGTCGTGCTTCACCAAGCTTAACTCATGGGTCACGCAGTCATGTTAGCATCAGAGAATCACCATTAGTCCCCAACCTAGTTTATACAGCGTTGATGATATCAGCTCTGTCTGTGTTTCTTTCCATTTGCACTGATGCATTACTTGCCAGCTGGTCAGCTCTTTCATTACCATTTACTCCTGCATTCCCAGGTATGTAAATCCAGACTATGGAGGTTAATTGTGACTTCTGAATGCTTTCTTCCCATTCGGAGCATAGACTATCATCTGTCCATCCTGTTCTCATCAGTCTTGTATAAATCCACATCACTGAAGTTTTCACATAATTTTTCACTTATCGGCTCACTACGCATGATTTTCTTTTTCCACAAATCCACTGCTGCAGATATCCTCTACCTATATTTACCTGTGTGACTGGTTTTCTCTTTCCATTAGGGACTCCAACTGGTTATAGGTTTGTCAGTATATTATCTAATAACTATCAACTTGTTCTACCTCGTGGTCTAAGCCCATTTAATTCTTTTATGTCTGCAGTTGTTTCCACCTAAGAACAGTACAATTAAAGTGAAAAAAAAAAACAAAACAACAACAACTAAGAAAAAGAAAGACATGAAAGAAAATCTGTGAAATTTGGTTAAGCTAACAGAAAAACAAGCAACTTCATGCTGATATAAGTGCTCATCACTTGCCTCTGTAGGCAGAATGACATTTGTCCCTATAGTCCCTAAGAACGTTGCAAATCATATTGAGGAACTGGTCAGCATAGTCTGGTAGGTCGTGCATTAACTCCTGCAACTCCTGGATGCTGCTGTCTACAGTCACTGTGCTCTGTGACATTCAAGGGCAGATAAAAATATACATTAAGAAATTATTTCATTAATTTAAAAAAAAAAACCTTGTTAGTTTAGAAGTAATGAATTCTAAAAAAAGGACAATAACTAAGTAAAAATGACTTCCAAAACACATACAACTGTTTAGCATAAATAATGACTTCTAAAACCAGATAAAAATTAAGTAAATAAAATTATGACTTCTAAAAATAAATGACAGTTAAGTAGAAATAATGACCTCTAAAAACAGACAATAGTTAAGTGACACTAATGACTTCTAAAAAAAAAACACTATGTGAAATCATGACTTCTAGTAACAGACAATAATTAAGTAAACAACAGTTAGGTATCAATATTGACTTTTTACAGATCTGGCTTATCTGTATGCAGATTGATGCTTCCTTGCCTCTCAGGCAGATGTAGTTCGACTTTCAAGAAAAACAACCCTAGTTTGGCTGGCAGTGGAACTATTCCTTTTTATTTCTCCACAAAGAAGTTCCAAAACCCACATGGGGAGCTCAGGTTAAAAAAATTAATCCATGCCTCGGGGATCAGAACACATGGTCACAGGGCTGGCAGGCAAACAAGCAGGCTAGTTAAAAAAAAAAAGCAATAAATGATAATACTCAGTTGCATCATTATTTCATTACACACGTAAATGCATGCACATCGCCAGGAAACTAACCTGCAGTAATGGTCTGGGAACACCAAGCTCTCGCCGGGTTTTCTCATCAATAACATTTCGTAAGGCATCAAAACCTGGAACAGGAAATGGGCAAAAAAACGACACTCTACTGTCAAAAAGAAGAAGAAAAAATACAACATTCATCAAATATCTAGCGTGATGTTCACATAACCATTTTTTTTTTTTAAAGTACATTAACTATGGTTTAAAATAGTATTTTAAAAAAAAAACAGCAGTAACTATTAACAACATCAAAATCTTAATTTTGGTTATACTAATAAAGAGATAAAGTATTTTTTTTTTAAAACAGTTTTGGCGGATTAATGCATTGTATAAAATATTTGGGTGTAGGAACACGTGGTGTCTGTTCCATGACAGAAAATTACTAGTGGTAGAGTTGAACCAAAATGAATTAAAAACTGACACTACAGCACCTGGGACATTAAGCACTCCGTCCCCATATTCAGCAGTCAGCATAGACCTCTAATTCTGATTACAGTAGTAGCAGTTCTATTATTTTTCAATTCTGCCTAGCGGGTGAGGACGGAAAATGCACGAAAGAATTGTATTAGTTCGGGTACTAAGCATACATAAGAATAAGTGCCCCTGAGAACACCTACTCTGAACAGTCAGAAATGGCTGACAAATGCACCTGAGAACACCTACTCTGAACAGTCAGAAATGGCTGACAAATGCACTTGAGAACACCTACTCTGAACAATCAGAAATGGCTGACAAATGCACCTGAAAACACCTACTCTGAACAGTCAGAAATGGCTATCAAAAGATATCATCATCATTTGCTTTACTAGATGATATAGGTCATGGCTACATGAGTTAATTTACCCAGGAGCTAAAAATTTGAAAATTATAATATGAATAGAATAGACTATAATATGAAAGTAAACACTACGAAGACAGAGACAATGGTGACAGGAAGGCAGAAAGACAATTTAGAAATAAAATTAAAAAGCACCATCTTAAGACAAACAGAGAAATTTAAATATTTGGGAGCAATTTTAACATCTGAAGGAAAACTGGACAGAGAAATTAGCTCAAGATGCGCCAAAGCTAATCAAGTAATGGGGCAACTATCTTCCCTGTTGACCCACAAGCAGATACCCCGGAGTACTCAAAATAATCTTATCAGAACTATTTTTTGGCCTATGCTATGTTATCAGTGCCAAGCGTGGACACTTAAATCCTCCAATAAATGTAAAATTGTGACAACGGAGATGAAATGCCTTAGAAGAGCTGCAGAGTTTCATAGAAAGACAGAATACAAAATCAGAAGAATGCTAGGAATAAAGCCAATCTTACAGGTCATCAGAGAAAAACACTAAAACGCTACAATGGGCATACAAAAAAGTGCCACTTTGCACACATGTCATAATAGGTGACTCATTAATGGCTTGCTGAATTCAGAGCTGTTAGGCCTAAAGGAACAGATATAACAGCCTAACTGTAAACCACAGCACAAAGTGTCTATGACCCCTTATTAGGATGCACAAGAAGAAGAAGAAGAAGATGAAGAAGCAGAAGAAGAAGAAAAGAAGATGAAGAAGAAGAAGAAGAAGAGAAGAAGAAGAAGTAGAAGAGAAAAAGAAGAAGTAGAAAAATAGGAAGAAGGCAGAAGAAAAAGAAGAAGAAGAAGAAGAAGAAAATTAATTAAAAGGAAGAAGACAGAAAAACGAAATAGATGTAAAAGAAAAAAAAAGTGGGGCGGGGGGTGGGGTGGGGGGGGGGGGGGGGGGGGGGAATAAGAATAAGTATCCAGCTTTTTAAACATCTAATGCTAAAATCATTATCTTTATTCAGAATGCAGGATGTCTATTCAATGAAACCATCTCTAATTAGGCACATTTTTTACTCATTGTGATTAAAAAATCTACAGCTACCGCCTCTCAAAAATAAACATCCACAGGATTTGTTAATACTAGTAGTTGTCAAAGTCTACACATCAAAGCAAAAAGTAACATGCTTTTCAATTCTAATATATAACAGATAAAACAAAACTGCAGGTTAAGAAACAAAACAAATGAAAGAACACATACTCAAAAATAATGAAGCATAACATCAAAATGGTTTTACAGTGCTGCTTAGTACCAAGAGGTCTATGTGCAGACATTTAACATAAAAACACTGGTTATAGATGCTTACAAACACTGAAAAAATTGCTTGGTTATGAAACCGGATTCAAATCTTTCAGTGCCAAACAACACACCATATGTAGGGAACATCACTCATGTGTACCAGTCAATATATTGTGTGTATTTGTACATCTTAAGTTTAGTCAGGCAAATTTAATCAATCCAAGAACACAAGCCACCCACAATGTACTGTGTATTGGACCCTGTGGATGAAGAATACCTATCTTTTGTTGTCAACATTACTGCTTAGATCAGAGCTTGGCTATGACCTTCTGAGACTGACAGAGTTAAGATACAGAATCATCTCTGTGTGGGTCCCGGGTCCCCATTTTAGGAGGAAAGGGTGGAATGAACAGTTCCACTGCTTAACAAAATCATCATCATCATGTAGCAGGTCCTTTGCAGAACGTCGCTCTCATCACAGTCTGCCTGTAAGAAACTCGGTCTCTTGCCAGTTCTCCCGCCTCATGAACTTTCACACTCAAGGAGTCACTTATATCCTGTACCCATCTTCGTGTCGGTCGGCCCCTGCCCCTCCTTCCTGGTACCATGCCTTCTGCTATAATTTCTTCCAATCCGTCGTGGCGCTTGATATGACCAAAATATTTCAGCTTTCGAGAAAGGATGCTGTTTATTAGCCAATCTTCCTTGATGTTCAGATCTTTTAAGATGTCAATATTTCTCTTAACAAAATAGGCATGACTTAAATGATGACTTTGCCGTGTGGGTTCTGGGGCCCCTCTTTTTGAAGAAAACAAGAATAGACCCATTGCTCCCCAACAGGCATGTTGTAAGAGTCGACCATGTGGGGGCTTCCTTTGAAGTCGGAGTGCATCTCTCTGAGGGGCAAGGAACCAAGAGTCTGCATACAAATAAGCCAGCTCTGTGAAAAGGATGTGCACACAATACTCAGGTTCTGGAACAAGACTAAAGTCTGCCGGAATGCCCAGAGCTTTCCACTAGAGTTTACAGATTGTGAACATGAAGAAGAAGAAGAAGAAGAAGAAAAGCCGACCAATCAGGGGTTTACTGAATTCAAATGTGTTGGGCTGAAAATCAAAGAAAAAAAAAAGCATGCCAACCAGGGGCGAACACAGAAGAAGAAGAAGACAAAGAGTTATAATTACAAGATTGAGATAATAAAGAGATTGCTCAAAAAGACTACCAAATGTATAAACAATAAGAATGTATAAAAGACAAATAAACCAAGTTACATATGACAGGTCATTGCAGGCTGGAAGTGAGAAAAAGATGCTGTCCTGGCAAGGGTTCTAAAGTCACGGGTGAAGGGGCTGGGGGAGGGTGGGGATGTATAACCCCTCTTGGCAGGGTCTGTAATTTTTCTTTTAATAAGGCAAGTGGAGTTTTTCATTAGATAAAATATGTAGAAACTAAACCACTGATGCAATAAACCACTAGCAAAACATATTAATCCCCAAGTGTAATACATTGTAGACCTGATAAGGAGAGCAGGGACCCGAGAAATAGTTCTTTTTATAAGAAATTTTTTACTTATTTAGAAAAAGAGTTCAAACATATGGTAATGCTTTTAGAACATACAATACAGCAATGAATCAGCGTTGAATAAGACAGAGGTATGATACAGAACAGTCCTTGCCAGCATAGGACTGTAGGTTAGACTGGCTGTGTAACCGTTACAGATGCCCTAATTATAACTTCTTTGGAAGTTAAACAGGGTATCTAGGATCCACTTTGCTGATCCACCATCCAGAATGGAGAGGACGAACTGACCAATAAATAGATACAGAAAATATGTGAATCACCAGAGCGTTAATTAGAAGGAAAATAACTAAAATTCTAACACAACACAGACAAAGAGCACAATTTCTAAAAATATCCAAAAATTTGTACAAATGTACAGGTATCTGAACTTTAAAAAGCTGATAAAATTGTACAGTCAGGACACATGAACTCATTTGGCATATCAGAAAATTCGTGATAAACGGATTCTGCTAAACTGAAAATTTTTTTAAAAGACGAAGAAGAAAATTGCCATGGATAATCACATTGTTCATTACAACAGAATTGTATGCCCAATATGTCGCTGGAGTAAAAAGAGTCCTTACTTTTACTGGTAGCCATAATGGTCACAAGAAACATCTGTTCACTGGTGGGGGAAAAAAATATGGGCAAGCAGAAAAATCCAAATCCTGCCAATACTAAAAACTGAGGTTTTGACCTTGTTAGTGTAGACCAACCACCACAAAACCACATTTCCAATTTTTTAAATTGAATAAGTAAGCATCTGTAGCTTAGGGATTATAACTGCAGTTTCATTATTCCAACATACTGGGGTTCAAGGTCAGTGCAGGTAATTTGCAGAAAACCATTTTGCACTGACTTCGACAATCATATATAGTACAGTTCAGAAGGCAATGGCAAACTACTGAATGTAAAATTGTACAAAAAAACCCACCCAATAGCTAATACATGCTGGGGTTGGTTTGCAAAGTCCTCTAAAGATTATGCAAGTAACTTTATTACTTATTTAAATATTTGAATCCTTTTTTACTGGTAAATGATTTCAAAGAATCCAGTGGTTTGGTTACATGATCAGAATAGAATAAAATCAGCTAGCAGCTAGAGTGTACTAGATGAGAACGGCAGGCTACAAGCCAAGATGCCGACCAAGAAAGAGATGGGTGGAGGAAGTAAAAGACACTACAGAAAAGCAATCACATTAATACAAATTACACAACTAGAAAAATACAGAAAAATACACTTAACTCCTTTCTGCGACCCTTTATGGCATAAGAAGTAGACAAAAAAGAACAAGAAGACAGAAGATCCTTCTACAGAATATCTTTTTCTATATATCAGTAAATAAAGTAAAGGATTCTATTTATGCCATTGGTGTAACATGCATAAAACGCTAGTCATATCTTTTGTATTAGATCAATCGGCAATGACAGTCAAAATCAAACCAGCTGCCCTCATTTTCCACCACTTTGCCTGGTAGGCTGGGGTGACCTGGCAGCCAAGCTCATCTTGAGCTGAGTCAAGAATTGACATCACAGCACTCAGAGCATTCCCATGTGTGCTCCATCCTCATCTTCAGCAGCCAGTGCAGAGTTCCAATACTGATGGTACCGGTCACAATCTGGTTATATGTCCGTCTTGCCTTTTTTCTGAGTGTAGTGAGCCGGCCAGACACTCAGGTTACATCCAGGTGCCTCATTCTCTCTAGGCCATAATAATCTTGTTTTTCTACTAATTCCGTTGCTTGTTCCTAAAGGGTCTTGATCACATCTGCCTTGTCATGTATCAATTCACCACCCAGTGGTGCAGATCTACCCGGTAAGCATTTGAACCCGAGACCTCTGGGCCAGGAGGCGAGTACCTAGCCACTGTGTCACTGTGGCTTCCTACATATAGGTAAACTGAGATGTTAAAACACATAAGGCATGCCAAGCTAGTGTTTCTGTCTATATGTGAATACAAATGAAGAATGCATTTACTATCACACTGATAACACTATAGAGAAAAACCAACATCTACATAAGATGGGAAGAAATGTGACATACAAAGAGCACAGCAGGAATAATACACTGACTCCATAAATGGGAAATCAAATGAAAGGTCAACCATAGATAGGGAATCAATTAAACCACATATGGGGAGTAAAGTGACATACAAACTTCACTGGCGGGAATTATACATTTACACCATAAATGGGTAAACAAATGACACATAAACCATATATGGGTAATCAATAAAACGCAAATGGGGAATCAAATGACATATAAAATATATATGCAAGATCAAATGACACCTAATACCTAGATGGGGAGCCATATGATATAAATAACATGGAATCATACACAACATATGAAACACATTTATAGCCAACAGATACAGAATAATACAGAAACAATAAATAATTTAACTCAAAGGTAAAGGAAGTATGACGGTAGATTCTGCTACTGAGGCACGAGGTATTAGGCCTTCTCAACATCGTCGTCAATCAGTAAGTCCTTTACAAAATGTCACTCAGTATGCCTGGAAAAAGTCTCTCTTTCTCTAGCCACCAGGGGATCTGGGCGATGCTCACCACTCCAGGGAAAGACGAGACGGATATACATTCAGACAGTTACTGGTGCCATGGGAATTGGAATTCTTTGTTTGCTGCTGAAGATGGGGGATGGAGCGCTTATGGAAGTGTCCTGAGTGCTGTGATATCGATTCTTAATTCAACACCCTCTTTCTCTCTAGCCAATTCTCCAGCCCTATGTGCTTTCATAGCCAATGCATATTCAACGTCTTGAAACACCCTTCACAGAAGTCTGCCCTTGCCTTGTTTTTCAGAAACTACACTCCTATTGGCTTCAATTTAAAGTTTCTATTAATATATAATGTAGTAGTCTCCTTAAGCCTTTCAGCCTTCATATTTTAGCCACTACATGAGATGTGGGTAACTACTTTCCATCTGCCACCTTTTGTGCCTAGATTATTCATACACAAATGTTTGATACCCAATTTTTTTTTTATGCGGCTTCAGAACTGCACTATCTTCTTCTACCTCTCTTTCTCAAGATACCCAGTGAAGTTTTGGGTGAGATGTAAGGATTGTCTGTGTGCTTTTTTCTAATGGATTGTATAAGCTGGTCTTCATCCCTGTAAGGATGTTGTTCTTGCTGCTGCTCCATCTTCTGTGTGGTCTTCGCCCTCCTTTGCATTTCTCTGTGATTCTCCCATCAACACTGATGGCATACTAACACCACCATCACCCATGTTAAAAACAGTCATACTTAAACACTATGCTAGGCTATTTCAAGAATCGAAATACTAACAACTGCTAAAGTCAAAAACAAAACCAATTGTAAAAAAATCCACAAATGAGAACAGTGAAACTAAATTTGTGGCTTACTTACAAGTTCCCCCATTTGCTATTAACTTATTATAATCTTATAATTTAATTATTATAATTACATTATTAACAAGTGATATAATTTAAATATTTTTACAATGTTTAACATAATGCAAAACAATGATATTCTAAAACAGGACAATTCAATAATCCAAACACAAGACAATATAATCATCTAAATACTAACGACCGCAACAATAATACCAAACAACACAGAAACCAAACAAAAAAGTAAAACATTCTTGGCTATCCAGCATGTTTTTCTTATGTGCCATTTACTTTCTGTGTGAGGGACAAAATAAACTATAATATTTATAACTGCTCTTATATTTAACTCCAAAAATTTTATTTTAAATGTGATATTAATTATTTAATAATGAAATTTTAATATTCATTTCAGTTTCATTTTGTTATGGGTTAATTACACAACTTTTTCATAACACCATGTTAAATATCATATTCTCTGCCCAACTTGATTCAATCAAGTAAAGACACACTGCTCTTTTCTATGACTGGCAGCTCATTTAGTGCATGTTTAAATTATAATCTGAGGGAATCTGCTAAAGTGAACAACAATCAAAACTGAATGCACACTGTCACAACTCAACTCACACTTGTGGCCCTCTTCCTCCTCTTCCACTGTCAGTGGTGAACAAGGGAGATTATGCATGCTAGTTAATGGCTGAACACCACTGCTTAAAACAAGCAATGAACACAACTAATGCTCTTTTTTTTTATAACTTATAATGGAAAGTTAGGTGGTGTGGAGCCTGATCAAAATGAAGAGGAACATTCTATGCACAAATTTACACTTCAATTCAAACTTGACCAATGCTTTTATATTCCCTATTTGAGCTGTTATGAAATGATTATTTAGCATGCTTATTAATGCTATTCGGGGGCCCTAATATAATTGCTACTATAATACCTACCATTCCCTTGTGGGATGCAATTTATCGTTATTTTAAAGCCCCACTCTGGTTCTTGCCAGGGACCGCAATATAGCTCAGCCATAAGTATGGTCTAATGGCTGAATGCGGTTTCTAGGACCTCTCTACGGGTGATCCTCATCCGCATGGTGACACTTTGTGTCATCGGGTATTTATTGTTTGTGTGATGTCCTAGTGGGGTAAAATGTACAACTACTAGAATAACATAATAGTTGAAGAGGATTTATGGAACCTCTCCCTGGGTGATTTTCATCCTCATGGTTGCATTTTGTGTCATCGGGTGTTTATCGCTTGGTGTATGTCCTGGTGGGGCTGAATCTCACTCACTAACAAAAGTGGAAGTTAATAATGATGAAGACGAATATTTTCTCTGACCCACAAAATGTACCATATGTGATAAGTCATTGTCAACTGTGTATCTCACAGAGTATGGTGGTATTGTTAAAACGTTACCATTGGTCTCAGCATACAAAAGAAATCTTGCTACATAAATGAACATAAATATATTGCGTTTTAAAAAGATAATACATTTAAGCATTCTTTATTAAGTTTGAATGCTTTCAAAGACAGATTACACACTATGTAAAAAAAAAAAAAAAAAAAAAGCATGTTCATACCAACATTGAGGTACCAGTGCTAAACATAGACATTATCTAAAGCCTTTATATGTGTTGTATAAAAAAAATCGTCACTTGCGAGATAAGATGCCTGAGAAAAGTCATCAAGCTAACCACCCAAATAATGATACCATCAGACGTATTGTGGGAACAACACCTCATACTAGATTCATTGAGAAACAGTAGATCAAGTGGTTTGGCCATCTCACTGCAATGCAACATTGCAGCAATATCAAATACTATCACAGGCACTACATTTCAAAAGATCATCTGAAAATGTAGTTAACAATCCAGAGCTGGATCTCTTATCAAACACTAAAGAAAACTTTTCTCATGGACAGTACCATGTTTTGGAGACTGAAATATGTGTGGTCAAATTAAATGCTGCAGAGCTTTAGAAAAAACAGTAATGAAAGGCAAAGTGGTTGGAAGAAATGACAGGAGTCCTACAGAAGGTGGGGGCAAATTATTTAAACGAGACCTTGATCAAGACAATACATGAAACAGTACAACTATCAAAGGACTGAGAGGCTGTGACTGGAGCAATGTTCTGCAAAAGGACTGATTGTATATATATCCTTCTTCTTCTTCGCATTCACCAGCTGTAAACTCTGGCTGAAAGTTCTGGTAGTTCATCCACTTCTGGACTGCGGTCCTGTTCCAGAACCTAAGTGTTGAGTGTGCATCCGTTTTACAGATCTGACTCATTTATATGCAGACTGCTGGTTCCCTGCCTCTCAGGCAGATGCACTCTGATTTCGAAGGAAGCTCACAATTAGTCGACTCTCACAACATGCTTTTGGGTAGGAATTGGTCTATTATTGTTTTCCCTTTAATAGGGCCCTGGATTGTTTATGATAAGATCATCTCTTACAGGGCAGGGCAAAGACAAAAAGTGTGCGTGCGTGCGTGTGTGTGTGTGTGTGTGTGCGTGTGTGTGTGTGTGTGTGTGTATGTATGTATGTATGTATGTATGTATGTATGTATGTATGTATGTATGTAGACATTTTATTGTTGTACTTTCAGCTAATTAACAGCATCCTGTCTCGGAAGTTGAAATATTTTAGTCATATCAAGAGCCACAAAGGATTGGAAACAATTATAGCAGAAGGCATGGTACCAGGAAGGAGGGCCAGGGGCTGACCGACACGAAGATGGGCCCAGGAAATAAGTGACTCCTCATTCCCATATATTTTCATTCATCTGATGCAGTAGCCACTCCAAAGTACCTCTACTAATTACTTCCATGAGAAGTTGATCTGATCATGGTTTCTCCTTCTTGGTCTCAAAGATGACACAGACGTGCTTTACCAAGCTTTACTTCCAGGTCATGCAGTCAAGCTAGCGTCAGAGATTCATGATTATCCACCAGCTTAGTTCTTACAGTGCTAAAGATGTCAGTTCTCTCAATGCTTCTTCCAGCGTACACTGGAGCATTATGTGCTGCCTATTTATATGCTCAGTCGAGCCAATCATGAGAAAGTGGAGGTAAGTAGCTAAGTGGCTAGCAAACTCCTTTCCTGCTGAACTGGTGGTCACAAACTTCTAAAGATAAATCTGGTCACTAACACTGACCCAGTCAAAGAAAAGGTGCCAGGAAATGCTCGGGGAAGTAACTGTACTGACCAAAACACTCCCCAAGTGCCCAGCGGTTTTCAAAATAATATGAGGCTAGCATCATATGCTCAACTGTTGCAAACTGTTCCTCCCCATGCTGCTTCATGGCAACAGTGGAAACTGATGATGATGATGACTTTCCCTCTCTTGATATCCCTCTCTTAATTCCTGCACCTTTAGGGCCAAAATATGTAGCTGTGCATAGGATGAGGCTGGCTCGATAGTTAGCACATAAGCTCTCATTCAGGAGACCCAGATTAAATCCTCGGTAAGAGATGGTGATTTTTGTGTGTTGTTGGGGGCATAAAAATAAATCCTAACCTGCACAGTTGGTGTTGACTGCACTAGCCATAACATTTTAACTTCTCAGGCACATGACCCCCCCTCTACCCCACCGCCATAAAAGTGGTAAATGCAGGGACTAAAGACGGTAGAGGATGCTTGTCAAATATGTTGATATACAGTCGAGTCTGAATAAGTAGAAGTCGCAGGGACCTAAGAAAATGCTTCCACTTATCAGGATTTCTACTTATCCAGACAGCACACACAACAGAGAAAATTGCCGGGACTAAGCTGGTCATGTCGACTAACCAAAATTCGACTTATCCAAGTTCGACTTAAGTGGACTCGACTGTTTAATCGTTACATGCCATCAGTGGTCACTGAGACACCACACAACCCACCCACATTGGACAACAGGTCCCTTCGTAACCAGTTTTGTGATGCCCCAATATAAATGTGCTATTTGGCTTAAAGGCTGAAGAGGGTTTCCAAGAGTTGTAGCTGTTTAATTCGCAACCTTGAGATGGCAACCTTACAGAATGTAAATGTGGAGGGAGAATAACTTAAAAAAAAAATAATTAAAAACAAATTTACAGTAAAATAAAAAAGTTATTCTTACTCAAATGCATCAAAATCAGACTTGGTTATTTCCAACAAACACAACTGAAAATGGGGTCATTAGGAAATGCAACACTTTCAGATTTTGTTACGTATATGCAGTTAGTAAAAACACAATGTGTTCATGTGTTATGAGGAAATAGTCAATTTCAGTAATAGCTACACAGTTTTATCCTGTATGGCTGGGTCTCTCTCTGCAGAACAGCTAGCTGTCCACCAAAAGCATCACACAAAGCTTGTACATGGGTCTCCGAAAAATTTAACCCGTGAACCAAACGGCACACCAGTAAAACGAACGCACAATCTTTAGAACATGGAAATCCTCTGTTTGTGCTGTCACTAAAATGACAGCACAAAAAAGATTTACTGCCATAGGAATTCTTCTTCTTTGTTCATCCATGGATGCAACTGTGTTGTGCCTATTTACAGAATACTTGCACCTTTTGGCTGACACAACCAACTTCTTCAAGCATTTGTCATTCAGGTTAGCCTTCCCAAGTGCATGTAAACAGTAGTCAATATTACTATGCAAACCACGTTGGAAGCCATTCTGGTGACCATGCTGCAACAAAACACTCAAGAGCACCTATTGCACATTTGTCAAATCACAGTTACAACAGTAAAGAGTACAAATTCACATTCACACATATATAATTAATCAGTAAGATCCCACAGCTGATAAGCTGAAACCTTTCACTACTAACTCTGTGGTAGATCAGGATGAAAGATTAAAGATTTAGCTGGGGGGGGGGGGGGATATTTTCTTTAATTTTGATAAACAACTAGTAGTTTTTTTTTTTTTTTTAATCCTTTTCAATTTTTAGTATCACAAGATTATATTTCTCAGAATAAATGTCACATGGGGACAAAGTATTATTAACCAACACAGGACTGATATTGTCAGTAACTCCATTTTGATGGAGATACTCAGAATACAATCTAAGGGCCTACAGAGATATTTTATTAGCAATGAGGATGACCCATGGCTTAATTAACTTTATCCTCAGAGTTTCCCAGTGTAGGTTCTAAACTCCACTTGGGAGAACAAAGAACGGACCCCTCCCCTCCCCCCCCCCACACACACACAAGCATACATGTCGCAGAAGTCGACTAAATAGAGATGTATCCTTTGAAACTGAAGTGTATCTGCCTGAGAGGCAAGGAACCAACAGTCTGCATTCTAACAAGCCAGATATGTAAAATGAATGTGCACACAAAACTTAACTTCTGGATCAAGACGACAGTCCAGGAATGGATGAACAACCAGAGTTTTCTGCCAGAGTTTACAGCCGGCAAATGCTGAGAAGAAGACCCTCAGATTTCAAGTCTGGTTAAAAGTTCATCTGGGTAAAGATCTGACACCACAGCATTCAGGACAAGCCCACATTAGCTCCATCTTCCTCCTCAACAGACAGCGAAGAGTTTCCATACTTGGTTGTGCTCCTTGTCATCTTGATAACTACTCATCTTGCCTTCCCTCTGAGTCTTGAGAGGCGACCAGAGCCGACAGTCGCTCATCCCTGTATCATTCTCTCCAGGTACCGATTTTCAGTACCTTCCATTTCACCTGTTACCATGTCCCACAGGTTTGAGATCACCTCTGCCTTGTGCAGTTGCAGTACATCCCCCAAATGGGGCCATTCCAGCCAGCCTATCTGCCTGCTCATTCCCAAAGATGCCTGAATGGCCCAGGCAAAATATCCATGTGACTCTCACCACTTGCGACCTCTAGACTGATGTAATTCATTCAATATGAAGAAAACCTGACTCCACCTCGATATAGGTACATCAGATTCCCCAAATTTATATCAGTTCTTTTCACATTTAAATGTTATTGTGTTTTGATCTGAATGGATAGCATAAACTGCACATATGTGTAACATATGTCAGTTACCCTACTATTCTGGGCTGTCTTTAAGCTAGGTATATGGAATTATCAATTCCGAAACTTTCCATTTCTGAAGAAATAAATCTTAACAATGAAGACACAGATAGGCTCAATAATCGTAACTAATGTCAGTGTTACTGCATGTATAGGATCACTGAGAATGGTTGCTGAAATTTTAAACTGTTTTTATATAAAAGCAGCATTTAATGGACATACATATGTGGCGTCTCAAACTGTTTCCTGTGACCTTGCATGACCGTGAGGCTGAAAATGGTGTTTAGATTAGCAACATCCAGCACCCTAAAGAGAGGGCCACTGCAACAATTAGAAGTGTAACGCTGAAGACAAATCAGAAGATATGGCTGGAGATTGAATACTGTCTAGACAACACCAGAGCTACAATCAGTGCCCATTTCTAAGTGTCCTTTGTCTTGAAGTTTAAACTTCTCTAAACATTTTAAGACACTACACATGTAAATCCATTAAACACTTGTATAATAGCAGTTTAAAATTCCAGCAATCATTCTCGATGACCCTGTATAGGTTCAATAAATGTTACTAATATCAGCAAAGAAATGTTACTGCATGTATATTCTGTTACAAATAAGTAAACAAGGACTTTTTCATGCAACTGTTGCATCAGGCATTTGGTGCTGGAACCTTATTTTATAGACTACTGCAGCTTTCATAGTCTTCTCATACTCTTTTAGATCATCATCATGTAGCAGGTCCTTTGCAGAACATCGCTCTTATCAGGGTCTCCTGGCAGAAACGTGGTCTCTTGCCAGCTCTCCTGCCTCATGTACTTTTCTATCCAAGGTGTCACTTATATCCTGTGAGCATCTTCGTGCTGGTCAGCTCCTGCCCCTCTTTTGTCGTACCATGCTTCTGCTATTTCTTTTCCCAGTCCACCACAGAAATATTTCATTTTCTGAGATAAGATGCTGTTTACTAGCCCATCTTCCTTGATATTCAGATCTTTTAAGATGTCAGTTTTTCTTTTCTTCTTTGTCCGTAGTATTCTGAGAATCATTCTAATACCATTACTCTATTATACATTTTAACAAATAGCAAGATTCCATGCATACAACTTTATAAAACTTGAAATAGTGACAAAAATGTATATGAAATGTATGTGCATGAACCTTGAAATTATTTTTTTTACAGTTTTTAAAACAATTAAAAGTAATGCAAGTGTGGCAAATTGAGTAAATTTGCACTCAGCACTCATAAAAAAAATTAGGGAAATCTGCATTCAGCACTCATCAAATCTAACAATTGTTATGTTGACAGACATATTCCTCTAGAACTCACGTACACATATGGTTGTCGTCATGTTCTTGCACTGAGCAACACATAATGATCATTATGTTTTATTTCTATAGTGAATTTTCATGTGAATTTTTAAACAATCCACAAATACTCAACATAAAAAGAAAAATACTGTTCTAATGAATCTTTATGTTAAAGAATTACTTTGCATCAGACATTTATAATCCAGTGCCTCAAGAGAAACAAAAACCTCAAGTGAGTATGCACTGAGAGCATTAAAAACATCCAAAAACTAATTATCTGATTTGTGGCAACCAGTTAAGTTGCAGGTCTTTACATTATAAACAGTCACTACTGTCTGTTTTACCACCTTTTTAGGGCGGCGTAGAAGGGGTTTCGTGAGCCTGAGGATTTAGACCCACATGGCTAGTGCTGTTGCCACAGACTGTGCATTTCAGGATGTTTAATTTTGCGCTTTACAGAAAACCTCCAACACTTTTCAGGGGTCGAACTCGGGTCTCCCGCATGAGAGCCTGACGCAACCACTTGTGCCTCTATCTTTATATTATGCCTGTTGCCCCGTGTGGGTTCTGGGCCCCATTTTGGGAGAAATAAAGAACAGACACACTGCTACCACCTCTCCCCAACTTAACAATCATGTTGTAATCATGCTACTAATAAGCGATGTTCCCTTGGCAGTCAAGAGTGCTTCTGCCTGAGAGGCATGGCTCCAACAGTCTGCAACAAATAAGCCAGATCTGCAAAAACTAGACCAAAGCCCAGAAGTGTGTGAACAACCAGAACTTTCGGCCAGGGTTTACAGCTGGTGAACAAGAAGTGGAGGAAGAAGAAGAGGAAGAAGAGAAGATACACCTAGCAACTGTTTTAGTGTAATTAGTTAATCTGGAGTTACAAGTATGATTAGAAGTGAGGACTATCACTGCAGTACTCCAGACAGTTTCATAGGTGCCCCAATCTCCTCCTCAGCAGCTCCTCATGAGTAAAATAAATGATCAGATCATGCCTATTATGCACTGATTATAAAATACCTTTTGCCCTTAACAAAATTTTGCACCCCATTTCTACCAACCTGAATAGGAACATCATATGTGTTACTGTAAATGATCTTCAGGATGGATGGTGCAAGAAAAAACATTTAACTGATCCGTGATTCTAATGATTGCATAAGATGGCGAAATATGACAGAAGATGCTTACTGGCATGGCACATGATGAAGATGATGTAGGGATATGTAGATATATAGATATGCGCATATCTGTTTGTTTATATGTGTCGTGTATATGTGTACTGCTCATTTATGCCTAGCACATGTCTGTGTATATGTTTCACATTTGTTTATTAATGCTCGGTATGCATAAGTACATGATTTGCTATGTATATAAGTGATGGACATACAGATGTATGCGAGTACATATATGAATGCAAAGGTACACATGTGGTTTGTCATGTAGTCAGGTGAGTGGAAATACATATGTGTGTGTGTGTGTGTGTACGGCTATGTAAATATGTGTGGGTATGTGAATAAGTGCATGTCCGTCCCGACAAACAAGTTTCTTCACTGACATATTAAATAGAATATAAAGGACGTACAACTACAGGAAAATAAAACACTCACCTCTTGTAGCAGTGTCAATGTTCTCTGACACTCGCGCATGTACTTGGCCAAGAAATGCATTCTGAACAAAGTCAGTTATAAACTCCTGAAGCCTGTACAGCAGACATTAATAATGGTACAACAAACTGCAAAAACTACTTGCTGTCGTTCACACAATATTGACAAGTTGATAGCAAACAATGAATACCATTTCTTATTTTACTTACTTTACTTTTTATAAGCAATCAAAGATGACTGTACAGCGATGGTGTGTGAAGGGATGTTTAGTAGTGAACTAGAAGATTCAGCCCTTTATTAATATCTTACTCCAAACGGAAAATCCAGAGGTTACAAGACAGTCTAATATTTCAGGGGGTGGTAGAGAGGCTGCATTCAGTCATGGGACCTAGGCTGCATGCAGTCCGGAGATCTAGGCTGCACTCTCTCGTAGGATGTAGGTGGGTTGGAGTTAGGGCCAGTTTTAGATGTTTTTGGGTCGTTAAAAGCATGAGAAAGTCGGGAAACCCAGTCTTACCACCCTATAAAATGTTGGACTGTCCTGTGACGTCATCCGAGGTAGGATTTTAATAAAGAACCGAAGATTCCTCCCAGTTCTGCTGTGACAGTGAGCAGTTAGTTAGATGTTAAGTAGAGGGTAAGACAGAAAGACTTGTGAACGTTTCCATACGTTGTTAAAGACTGAAGACAGGCAGATTGTATGTCAAGTAACACCAATAATGAACATCATCTGAGAACAATGGATTCCTGGCATGGAAGCTGTGTCCTTCATGTCCTATTTGTCTCTGAGAACATTGTGAGTCCTGATATACTGTGATGGTTCACCACCCACAGTAGATAACAAGCTGAAGTGAAAGACAGTATATTCAGTTCAATCTCCCTACTCTCTATTGCTTTTTTTGTTGTTGAGTAATTATATTCTTTCTGTCTGTGACACATGTCTAGTTAAATACAATCTGATTTTGTCAACATTTGTGTTTTGTATTTGCTAGCTTATCCTTTATTTATGCAAACTTATCCTTTATTTATAACTCTGTGAATAAATCCTTTTCCCGTCTGTAAGATTTTCATTTATCAATGAGAGGGCTGCGGTGTAGCAGCTAGAAGCTGCAGGCCCAAATGTCTAGATTCAAAATACATTGAGGCAGATTTTGTTCAAAAATTGACCTCAGCTCCCAGGTCGACCTAGCCTATAATGGGTATCAGATAATGTCCTGGCATGTAAAGGAAGCTAGAATGGTGCTGAACTAATCCAGCAGTGAGGCTCATCCGTCTATTAAAAAAAAATAGGTTTAGCACTATTTACCTGATGCACCAAAGGTGTGCAAGGGGTCACTGACTTACTTCATCAATGAGTATAACATCCACAGGTTAGGTAACAGCATAAGCTGCTTCTTTTACTCTTTATTTCCCAAAGCAACATTAGCTCTCGGCCATTTCACACCAAAAAATCTTATCTTTTACCCTGCCCTCCACTTCAATATCTTCCCCATTAATAACCCTTTCACCCTGGTGACCTAGAACAAACAAAGCCAAGCTCTCGTAATTTCCATTTCTCCGATATTATCAGGAAAAACTCCTTAGAAAAAAACAAACAATTTTACAAGTCATCACAACTCACAAAATCAGTGTATTATACAAAATATAAACAAACTCTATACAGAGTAGGGCGGGTAGCTTCTCAGGTCAAAAGGGTTAAACATCTCTGTCTATAATACAATTCTGTCTATTTATAGGTCTACCTTTATCTTTTAGGCCTAATTCTATCTCCTCGGTCGTGCGGATACAAATGCAAGCATATTCTGTTTACACTATCATCACAATTTCTCAACCTGCATCCTATCCAGCAACAACATCTTGCCCTCAGCTCTTGCTTCGCTGTAATGTTAGTTCTTTCCTTAAAGTCTGCATTGGGTAATCGTACCACTCTACTCTGCACAGAAATCAGTCAATAAATGATTATGGTTTATTGGTGCAGAGTCTACTTGACACGACCCAGTTCTATTCAGACTAACAAGTCATAAGTCAAATTTATATTTTTCAACACTATTCTTATTCAAATAGATTATAAAAATTCTACATAAAACACAAACATTAAATCTGTGTACATTTAATTTTGCATATAATGTACTCTAGGCAGTTCCAGGAACTTTTTGACCCTGCCAATGTCGTTATCTATCTTTCTTTACTATTTTTTACTTTTTTATTGTTTTGGTAGTGTGGATGGTTGTAAGCTGCATGGGTTGAATGTCAAGGAGAAGGTGTAAATGCTGATTCTTAAAAGAGTATGAAATGCAAATTAAAAATACAAAAGCACAGATGGCAAATTCATACCTTCAAATTTACATGTAACACAAACAATGCAGACACACACATGATGCAAAATGAGCCTTGAGAAATGTGACTGAAATAGGATTTCAAAACAAATATTTCATTATTTTGTATGTTCTATAATGATCGGACTCATGAAACTGCAAGGCAATCTGCTTTATGCTTCATGAAGAACTAAAAGAAGCAGATAAACATCTAAACACAGACTTACCAATGAAAAAAGGAATAATGACAAACACAAGTGAAAGCAATAACACAATAGCAATCTTACCCTGATGTTGTTTGCATTATCTCTTCCACTTCTTGAATAAAGGACTTCAATGGTTTGTAAATGGCTGAAAACAAAGTATAACATTTTAGCTCAGATCTAGTGTAGAAATATAAATTATACTGTTGTCCACATTGTTTTGGGGTCCCATTCTGGGGAAAAACAGAACCAACCTGTTGGCTCTTAAAATGCATGTGATACAAGGTAACAATTAAGGGTTTGCTGAAATCAGATGTGTTGAGCCAAAAGCTACAGATATTGCAGCCCAGCTGTAAGCCACAATAGAAATTGCCAACTGTCATTTTAAGGGTGAGTTTTTCTTTCTTCATCTTAGTGTTGTCCGGCTATAAACTTTGGTGGCAAGATCTGGTTGTTCATTCACTTGTGGAGTTTGGTCTTGTTCCAGAACTTTAGTTTCACATGCACATCTGTTTTACAGATCTGGCTAATCTGTAGGCAGACTGTTGTGTCCTTACCTCTCACAATCTGACTCTGAAGGAAACATCCCTAATTAGTCGCCCTTTATAAGAATATATTGTTGAAACTTAGCCACATTAAAAAACAAAACTCTTTTAAAAATAATACTGGAGAAAAAGGTTGAGGGCAAAAGAGCAAGAGGCAAGACAACAATACAAGTGGGTAGACAACAATACAAGTGGGTAGACAACAATACAAGTGGGTAGACAACAATACAAGTGGCAGGACAACATCAAGAGATGGATGAACAGCAGTCTGGAGAGTGTACAACCAAGTCAAGAGACAAGATAGTGTTGGAGACCCACTGCAGCCAACCTTCACTATGGAGACAGCACCTATTGATTGACTGATTGTTGAAACTTTGTACATTTTAGAAGTCATGGTAAGGCAGTGTTCAGCATGCCTGCCTGCCAGCCTGGTGATCATGTATAATGTTTGTTGTTGTTGTTAAAACTGACCTTACTTCCCTGGTCGATACAGCCCAAAATGAGCAACAGAAAATATTTAGAAAGTAAAGGTGGTCACCATAAACTTACTATTGAGTGCCAACTGGTCAATAGAAATATGATGCTAGTATCAGAAAGTATGACCGAATCATTAATGTGAAGCTTTGGGAGAGAACAACTATACACATTTAAGTGAATCAAGAGATCAGGAAAAAAATGCTGAAGATGGATCGGGGTGGACGGGACACATATTAAGAAAATCTGATACTGATAACAGCTAGAATGTCATTGCAGTTGAATCCACAGTGCCTTCTTCCCCCTCCCCCACCCTCTAATCTCTTAACGTTATATAATACATATTTCTTGGTAAAACAAATTAAGAGCAGAAATATGAAAGACTAAGAAAAGAACCACAAACTGTTTGAACTGACTTCTCATTTTTTGACTGGTTTTTTTTTTAAATTTCAAACAGACAACCAGTGTATTGCAAATAATTAGTACACATAATTTAAAAAAAAGAATAATGCCTAAATGCATAAGAAAAGTCAAAGGTGATATTTTTGGACAAGCAGAGAAAGTTAAGTATCTAGGAACATGGACAACAACCAACAGAATATGTATCACAGAGATAAAGAACAGAAGAGGACATACTAAAACTGCAATCTATAAAATGTAGAACTTACAATGCAATAAATCCATGTCACAAGACGTTAGAAAAAGAGTTCTTGCAGGTTATCTAGGGTCTGTTTAAACATGGCTGTGAATCCTGGACAATAATTAAATAAAGCACACAATTTCTTGTGGCCTTAGAGATGTGGTTTTACAGAAGAATTCAAAGAATTTCTTAGCCAAAAAGAGCAACCAGATATTATGAAAGAGGCAAGGGCTCAAAGACAACATGCAATAAACATCAGGAAGAAACAATCACAATTTTTTGGGGTCATGTTATGAGAGGAGGCAACCAGAACATTTTGTGACCACTGGAAAAAGAGACAAAAGAAGACATGGCAAGAAGGTTCTTAACAGTCTCTTGTCATAGGATGCAGGGGTGTTGGCACATGAACCGATACATGTTGCTGAAGGCAGCAGATCATGGAGGGGTATGACCGCTCACGCAAGTCGGCAAGGCATCTGATGATGATGATGAGTATACAGATGAGAGAATGAGCATTTATGTGTCTGCTGAATTTACTGCTTACTTTAATTTTTTTTTTAAACTTTCTTTAAATACAGAAACATTTGCATTTGTTATTCTTAGAGTATATACATATTATCATGAAACATATTAAAAGTGTTACATTGTTAATTTCAGATCTTCATTACTATCACTGAATGTCATAGTATATACATGTATGTGAGTGCACACGTTTATGTATGTATGTATGTATATGTATATACATATATATATATACTCACATATAAATGCGCTCACACACCATGAACAAACACAAATATATACATTGTATTTTGTATGTGATGCAGCAAAGTCTTATCTCACACAAATATATCTTCAAATCTTAGTTTCATGCTTCATAGCAAACGGGTCACCCTACAGTTGCTGTGCTCCTGTGTCAACGAAAAACACACAGAATGCCAATCACAGTCCCTTATGGAAAAACTGACACAGACTGTAGTCTCAGCGTGTCCACCAGCATACACACGCATTAAAAGCATAAGGCAGCCATCAAATGTGCTAACACAAACAATCCAACATTAGAAATGCAGCTCATCAATGATGTAAGGAGCAGATACAAACAGCAGTTGCACATGCGACCAAGTTTAACCACACATGGAACCACCAATTCTGTGGCAACAAGCCACGTGACATTTTATAAATCTACAGTTCACAACACTACTTGCCCCAGTCAAGAAACATTCGAAATGAAATCCACAGCTCACAGTAATATGCCATGCACTTAACTATATCTTTTCAATCTATAAATGGAGGAAAATGCAACGGCCACCATCTGTCAGAGGCTAAAAATTTGTCACAACTAAAAACAGCGAGTGACCATGCCTAGATCCATTTTGACCGGAAGAATCAAATATGTATATGTTACCTGTGATGTTAAAAGCAGCAGGCTTACAGACTTTGACAATGTGCCAGTTATCTGAATGACCCAAAGCATCCTGAAAAAACATAAGACGATGGAAGAAAACATATTACATACACAATAACAAGATATTACATATACAATAACTGAATGACTGGTTCAACTCTTTTAGTACCAAGCTGATATTGCTTGTTCTATTCCAAGATGTTGTTACTTTAAGCAGTCAGTGATTGGGTCTGAGAAGTTTAAATGTTAGCAATATGGGATAGAGGCAGTTAAAGTAATTAGCATGGTGAATGTGTGACAGCAAGTGAAATGGTTTGCCCACTTAGAGAGAATGCCTTGTGACACCATACCATACATAGCATACATGGAAAGAGAAGAAGGACGTAGAGCACGGGGTAGACCAAGAACAAGATGGAAGGACAACATCAGAGAATCTACAACAGCACGATGTGCCTATGGTCGAGGCAGCCAGAAGAGCTAGAAACAGAACCTTATATCTCCCTCGACACCCAAAGCGGTAAAAGAGGAAGTGAAGAAGAAGAAGAAGAAGAATGTGTGACAACTGGATGGGTAAAAAGAGTTTAGAAATGTGTGTAACATCAAGTGAAAGCAAAGCCGTTGTGAGTTGCCCAGTATTTAATAAATTAACTCTTTTGCACCTGGAACACTGCCAACAACAACAACAAAAAAGGGTCATGACCAGATTGAAAATTCCAGAAAACATTCCCTAAAAGAACTATTTTTACACAGAACACCAATAAATTATTTAAAAATTATTTATCTACATTCTAAAATTATTTTCAAAATATATAAAGATTAACGAAGGAAGTTATCTTTTAAGGTTCACATCTTGTCATTATAAACACAAATTCCCCCATAAACATACACACGCATACACAAGATGTGAACCTTCAAAGAGAGAGAAATCCATCACTGACATGCCATAGTAAGAAAAAGTTCATTCAAGTTTGTGAGAGATGCCAGAGTCATGAGAGGATCAGAGATTGGAAGTGACCACTATCTGGTTACAATAAAGAGAAAAGCCAGGCAACATCGACAACCATGCAAGAAACTAAGCAACACAGAAGAGATGAGGGTTAAGGCATACAAGCTAAGAGAGCCATAGATTAAAGCTAGATACCAGGAGCTTACAGTCAAAGCAACAAAAACTGAAGAAGAAAAAAATGAGAAATCTCTATGTGAACGATGATAAATCTGTGTATGAAAGTTAACATATCTTAGTATTAAAGAAGAAAAATGTATATTTGAAAGATGATAGATCAATGTAAAAAAGGACAGATCGTAGTCTGAACAAATGACAAATGTCTGTATGAAAGATAGCATATTTCACAATGAAAGAAGAAGCGTGGAAGATGACACAACTTAGTATGGCAGATGAGAAAAATAGCAACTAGGCAGTAATGTGGTATAATTCTGAAAGTGAACAATTTCATGCTGAATTAGTACAATTAAGTTACAGATCATGTAATGAGGTAATCACAATTTCAACTTCATAGCAAACGGGCCACCCCATAGTTGCTCTTCCTGTGCCAAAGAAAACCACACAGAATGCCCATCACAATGTCCCTGCGATTGTAACAGAGAACGCTGTGCGAAATTGCGCATCGATAATTACCAGTAGAAATCAACAACCTTGTCTCGCTAGTAAATACATTGTTGTCGTGCCCTATCAAAGTGAACGCAATTGTACTTGTCATAGGTGACCCTCATTTCCCGCCAAAATTACATATTAACATAGAACTCAGCTTGTTTGGCCTTGCCCTCCTTTCTCTAAATTTCGAAAAGCGTTTTTCCATCATGTGACCCAACCTTGTAGTGCTAGTAAACAGGCTGTTGACAATAATAGTTGAAATTTTATTAGGTTTTGGTAATTTTGATGCGCAGTTGCCGGTGTCCTAGACATCCATCGCATATTCTGGAATGTTCACATAGAGGCACATGGAGACAGACGGAGGAAGGACGAAGACCGGAGAGATAGGGAGAGAGATTTGGAGAAATATGGGCGAGTTTAGCTTATACTAAGTTAGGAATTAAATAAATACTGTCATATTTGAAACGCATCAACTTTTCATATAAAGTTATATTTTAAAGGACACAGTGTTTTGTTTGATTTGACAGTGGTGATGAGAGATGAGGGAGGAGTGGTAGAAGTGTATCGACTGAGAAGAGTAAATTTGGAAGTTATAGTGCAGCCGCCAGTGGAGCCAGGACAAGAAGAAGATTCTGGCATAGAAACCGAGGATGAAGTGAGTGAAGGAGAGGAGGAGGGAGCAGGACAGTGACATTATACGCTTAACCAACTAGCTGTAAGGGAGAGTACCTGTTACACAGTCTCAGCAAACACATTAAATGCATGAGGCAGCCATCAGAAGTGCCAATACAAACAGTCAGCCACTAGAAATGCACTCTTAGTTTTGAGTTATGAGTCAGATTATCTTCACAGCACTCCGGACACATCCACAGGCGCTCAGATTCCCCTCTCAACATATTCATTAGCGTTGCGAGGTTAATAGTGCCAGTCCTATGCTGGTTACTAAGACTTTGTGTGCTTCTTATGTTTGACAGTGCCGATATTTACTCCCAATTCTCGTATTCTTAGCAGTGATGTGGACACGTTGCTTCCAAAATCCTGAAAATGTCCTATCTCTCTAAGGGTAATGACAATGTCTGTGTGATCCATGGGCCGGCCATCTTGAATTAATTCAATGCACTTCACCATCGATGAAAGCAGCTCTTACAATAAATAGATCAGTAGTGGTGCATACAACTAATTAAATAATTTAAAGAGAAAGGATTTATAGCTACAGCCTCTATAACTACAAGAGACAGATTCAACTCACAAGCTCATATTGCTGAATTTGCTGCCTGGCACTGCTCACACTAATGGCATGCTGGGATGCTTCAAATCTGAACAGTGATACCTGAAAAATGAGCACCACACAATGTTAGTTTGCCACATTTCTAGTGTGGGTTCTGGGGCCCCATTGCTTTTTTGTTAGTTGCGTATCCTTTACAGGACGTTGCAGAACCAACCCCAGCAGCCCCTGGATGTTGTGTGGTTTTTCTAGGCAAATTTACAGTAGTTTGTCATTGCTTTCTGGATGGTCGGCACCCTGATACCATTGTCGAAACCAACGCAAGGCGCATGGCCTGCAGCTGAGATCGAACCGGGCACCTTGGCATTACGAAGCGTTCGCATCGACTTAGCCACAGAGCCGGCTGGGCCCCATTAAGGGGGGAAAAAAAAAGAATTGACCTGCTGCCCCTCAACATCATTAACATAATCATCATCAATTTCCACTTCAGATATTTGGCACCGTGGGGAGAAACAGTTTGCGATCAATTGCTTAATGGGTAGCAATGACTGTTATCATTCTGTAACGATGTAGAGCGGTGGTTCTCAAACTGTTTTGGCCCACCGCCTCCTTTTCAGTGGAAAAAAAAAATAGCCCAGCGGTCCCTCTACCTGGAAATATCATCAGCACATCATCATCATCATGTGTCAAGCCACAAAGTAAAATGCGGGCATCATGAAATGTACCTTCTGTAATCAAACAAAAAATGTTATAATGGCAGCTTTGTTTTATACCCCCCCCCCCCCACCCACCCACCCTGACACATGACTGGTTTTTAATTCTGGTAGTCTTTTCTCCAGTTCAACTTCATAGATTATTTTAAGAATGTCTGGGAGTCGCCATGGCAGAGCGGCTAGACACTTGCCGTGGACTGGAAGGTCTTGGGTTCGCTCTCTGGCGGAGCCGGACTTTTTTCAAAAATAGCCTTGGCTTCCAGGTTGAGCCAGCCTTGAGTGGGTACCGGGTGCAGTCCCGGGAAGTAAAGGCAGTCATCATGATGCTGACCACATCAGCCATCTTGCACTCGTTGGTCTATAAAATATAGGTCTAGCCCTATATGCCCTAAAGGAGTGGAAATAGGTCCTTTTTTCACTTTTAAGAATGTCTGGCATTTTATAGCTCTCAGGCAGATGGAGCTGCATGAGGTTTCTTGCAGTTTTCCTAAGCTCTGCCTTTCTATTCTAGGGATCCCTAGTAGGCTGAATTTCACTACTTGACTAGTTCTGTTCTTGAGGACATTATTTTGATTGTGTCCTGTTTAGAGCGTAAGATGCCTTGGAGGGCTGATTTTACAAATGTGAATACGATAGCTTATCTTTTAGTTAAACTGGAGTATATGGAGATTGTTCAGTTCTCCAGTAAGGACTGATTCCTCTGCTTTTGAGTTGGTGCTAGCTTCCCATGCTGATATTGAATGTGTGTCTGTCTTGCAATTAGTAATGAAGCTTCACCTGTCTCCCGTCTGTGGCTTCTTCACGAAAACCATCTGTAAACATGTGTGTCTAAATATTGGAGGTGTACTAATTTCTGAATATATAAACTGAAATAGCTCTTTGTTCTGGCTGTTGTTTTTGGAGATTTTTCCTGGGTCTTCCAACACTGTACTGGACAAGAAATTTCAGCTAATAAATAGTTCAGGGGTGAGAGCTTCCCACATTATTATGTCAGTTTTAGATTTACATGCGTCAAAGTGTCTCTTGTAAAATGATTTATACCTTTTCTTGATAGCTTTTTCTTTTTTGAAATCTATGGTTCAGTGGATGATTTGGAAGCCTCTTAAGCTTTTTCACTAAGTAGGAAACTTGTACTGTCTACTGGGGTTCTTCTAACTGTTCTGTGTTATATTTGTAAGCTCATATTGTGAACCTCACATAAGTTTCACAAGTTCGTTTTTGTGGTTCCACCCATGAGATTGAAGTGTATTGCATAAAAGGATTATATGCTCCAGTGTAGACTAGCATTCATGATCGTGTACTGGCTCCCCAGTATATTCCACCCAGTTTTTATTTTCATTACAGTGAGTTGTTGTATGACTTTTGATTGGATTTGATTTTCTTCCTCTGAGTTTGGCTTCAGGGTGACCCTGGTGTCTAATGTAACACCTCACCATAAAAAAAAGGTGGGTAAACCTATGATACTTGTTGATTTTCTCACATTAAGAATATTTTTTTTGTCTGGACGACATAAAATTTACTGTTCAAATGAGTCTGTTTTAGTTTTAGACGTACATGACTGAACTTCTGTATGACAGTAGTTGGCAGTACTGTCTCTGTAGAATGTTAGACGGCGTAACCAGACCTGCCATTCCACATTGTGCCAACAACTTCGGAGGGAAAAGTTCATAGGAAGAGAAAACTAATGTTACTTATGTAAGGATGAGGAAATGCAATCTGGAAACAGTTACCACAGCGCAGGTCCATAGACAGTTGGCAGTTGGTCTATGAGGGAAACTTCAACAGGCAGACAGACTACAGAATATTGCTCTTTTGATCCAGCAGATTCTACAGCATGCTTTGTTCCAAAAGTGTGCCAACTTTCTTTTTGAGTAAACAAGGCAGGCCGAGCGAGGGATCATGCTGCATGTCTAACATCTGGTCTCTACAAAAATGGCTAGTTTTTGTGCTCTGGAGATGAGGAATTTCATCCCTGGCCTTAAATAGCTGTAATTCATTTGCCTCTATATAACACAATATAATACTATCCTAGGAAAAGACGAAAAGGTCAGGGAGAGTTTTAGACCTCAATTCATTGCCCAGTTCTCTATTTTTACCACTGACTTTTGAAATGAACAAGAGGGTGTTGTGGTGTTTTCAGTGGTTGCCTGTACATCAAAGTCATTGACAAACATTTGTTCTATAAATATGGGACGCTCTGCCCATATGCCCGATGCGCCGAAAGGCGTGAAAAGGGATCTTTATATAGCTCTTGTTCAGGTAGACTGTTGGAAACTTGCTACAGTGCGTATCAAAAGTTATGCCCTCACACTTCAACAAATATTTCAAAAACTCCTACAGCGATGAACACAAATTCAGATCACAAACTGTTGCATGTGATCTTAGATTCCCCATGTCCTTATGATTTTATAATTTACAGTTACACAGGTGCTGCCATTTTCTTAAAGCAGCGATTTAAAAACTTGACTAATAATTTGTTTCTGCCAAAAAAAAAAAAAATTGAATATACAGTAATTGTGACACCTTTGGAGATTGTTCAGAAATGAATACCTATGTGTAATGATGTGTGGTGATTGTATTGATAGCATACGGTGAAAAATTGTATTCATGTAACTCACGGGAGGCTAATGCTGGAAATGACCACATGAGAGTGAAACGTCTAATAAATGCGTGCAATGTGATGTTTTGAAAAGTTCCGATTACTCACTTAACCGTAAGCATGCTGATTGTTTGCTTTGAATCAGTGTCTGTATTTTTATAAACCTCACAAAAAAGACCAAATAAAAACTAGATGTTTATTTACATTTAAAAAAAAAACATCTCTCACAATGACAAGATTATTAACAGGTTGCATGCCAATTTTCAACAATTGAAACTGAACGGTTATGTTTTTTATGAGATGAAACAGTACAATGTACCATTTTGTTTCGGTGTATAAAACACCCCTGTGTATAAGAACATTACTATTTTTTAGCCTGAAATTATGAAATAAATATTTTAAACACCAAACAGACTTTATGTTTGATAAAATAGTCAGAACACTGGTATATTTAGGACTGTATATTTTAACACTGCTTGGTTTATATTCTCATAGCCAAGCCTTCTCTGCTCATGAAGTTGAAGCAACATTCTGCCTCTCCTGTGAAGTCAGCAATTTCATTTCCTTTGCAAATCTTTTTGCCTCATAATGTATCATTTCAGTTGACACTTATTTGAGGGAACTGGGTGGAATACTGCCATCTTGAAAGATCTGAACATCAAGGAAGATTGGCTTATAAACAGCATCCTGTCTCGAAAGCTGAAATATTTTGGTCATATCAAGCGCCATGACGGATTGCAAAAAATTATAGCAGAAGGCATGGTACCAGGAAGGAGGGGCAGGGGCCGACCGACACGAAGATGGGCACAGGATATTGGTGACTCCTTGAGTATGAAAGTACATGAGGCGGGAGAGCTGGCGAAAGACCCAGTTTCTTCCCGGCAGACTGTGATGACAGCGACGTTCTGCAAAGGACCTGCTACACGATGGTGATGATGATGGGTGGAAGGGACAGTGTCAGAAGTGGGGGCTGCTAGGACCGACAACAACAAGAAAAAAAAGGGGGAGAGGGGGAGGAACCAGACCAAAATTTGAGGTAAATAGTGAGTAAGACAATCCCCCAATATAAACTAAAATAATATAGGAAAACATCTGCCGGATCTTATGCATGGAAAAATACGTTAATTCGCACTTTCATGACATTTAAAAATGGAAACAAACTAACAAGAACCAACCTTTTTGGGTTTTGCTGGCTTCTTTTTGCTGAAGTACTGGCTGATGTCCATGCTAGGTTCATCAAAACCTGAAGGAATCTGTTGTCTGGAGGACATGGTATTGCGGACATCCAGGTACTGACTTAACAATATCTGGAGCTGTGTAGAATAAAGCAAACTGAATGAACACTTGTTAATTTGGTCAACTTTTGCTGCCCCAGACTAATTATATCCTAAATACAGGGTGACCTCGACTCCTGAATCAGTTCCAATCTGACTAAAAGTTCACAAGTCAAACTGGTCATAAGTTTAATTTATATTGTTTTATACTATTTTAATTCAAACAAGTTACAAAATTGTATATAAAACACAAAATTCAATCTATGTATATATAATTAGACCCTGCTGTGCCCTAGGTCTCAGTTCCTGAACCTTTTGACCCTACCAATGTATAGGGTGTCCTGTAAGTCCCCCCACAGTGAATTAGCTTCACTCCAATATGTTTTTGTATTACTGACTACACAACTCTTGCAATTATTGTGGTACGCAATTATCTAAAAACTTTTGCTGTGGGGGGACTTAGGGAACACACTAAAGTTATTTTTCTTCACTATTTTTATTTACTTACCTTTTTTTGTGGTCCTAAGGGCAGATGGTCTCAAGTCACAAGTCGAGGAGAAGGTGTATTATTATTTTTAAGTAAAACATATCTGGTCTCTTAGCTATCTGCAATTCTTTTGCAGGACACTGAAGATCAACCCTAGCAATAGTTTGCTGTTTAAGGTTTTACTCAGCGATTTTACAGGGTATCTGCTCAGTGTAGTGGCTAGATGCTCAATAGCGGGCCTGAAGGTCGTGGGTTAAAATCTGCATTAAGCCAGACTTTTTTTTCATTCAGAAATGACCTTTGCTTCCAGGTTGTTGCAGCCTAAAATGTTTACCAGGAAAAGTCCGAGGAAGTAAAGGCAGCTGGTGTGATGTTGACCACATCACCCACTGAGCGCGGACTGGTCTTTACAATATATGTCTAGCATTATAAGTCCAATACACTTAAAAGCAAGGACAGGGTCAACCTGGATGCCACAATAATTTTTTAATGAAAAAATCTGACCTACTGCGGATTCAAACATATTCCTTCAGACTGACAGGCGAGTGTCTAGCTGCTACAGCACTATGGCTAGAAGTTCTAGTAGTCTTTTTATACATCTTGTTGATAACTGAGCTTTAGGAGGGAAAGGAGAACTGTGCAAAACAGTTCCCTAGAAGATTATACTCTAGAAGAGAGTGTAGAGAAAAGTCATGACACCTGCCCCATTCTGACAGGTGAAAGCCACTTGCAGCACCCCAATAACCTGAATGCTAATGCGTGTGACTTAAGGTACAAACTCACAGCTTTCCAGTGGATTCACCAACCAACATGGTTTTCTACCAATTGCCCAAATATAAAAACATATATGCTGCAAGTGGCTTTCACCTGTCAGAATGGGGCAGGTGTCATGACTTCTCTCTACACTCTCTTCTAGAGTATTTTTTTTTTTTTTTTTTTACGTATCCAGAAACCATGAGTTGTAAACCCTTTGGCTCGGTACTATGGATATCGCAACCCTTCGGCATTGATTCCATTATAGGTACCGTTAATCTGGGAGAAATGTGGCTTTTCTGACTACCCCCGGGAGTGAACCCGGACCACAAGGAGTTCGTCACCCGGCCGCCGCGAAAGTCAGGTTTAACCAACTTTGCTAGAGAATAATCTTCTAGGGAACTGTTTTGCACAGTTCTCCTTTCCCTCCTAAAATATATGTATTTTTTTTTTTTTTTAAATTTTCAAACACTGGACAAGTTTTAATTTTCAATTTGAAACATGATCTTACCCTGGCCTGTATCTCTGACCAGACATCTTTCATATCATAGAGGTGATTCCCATGCAATGGCATACCAGAGCTCTTTGAAGAAAAAAAAAAACATTCACATAACAAATTACTGATGTGATAAATATATAAAAATATATATAAAAAATAATATAATACAGATTTATTTTAGACACATGAAATAATATCCACTCATTCTAATTCAGAACATGTTTTAAAGGCCATCCATTTATGCCAAGTAATGCAATTTACATCATCATTATCAGCAATGTCATCATCATAAAGTGCCTTGGCAACTTATGAGGATGATCATGTCTCACCACAATCTGCGAACTCCAACAGCAAAAATTTGTTTATCTAATGACACCCCTCCATGACATGGCAAAAAGGCTGTCAAGAATCTTCTTGTGCTGTCTTCCTGTATCAGTTTTATTTTCAGCGCAAATGTGTGCATGCATCTGAACACATCTTGAAGCTAGCTATTCATAGTGAACTCAAAGAATAGAATGAGATTGTTTGTAAACATGACACTTCAATAAAAAATGTTGCTCTCTTACAGTTCATATACATTTTACGGGGAAATTTATGTTGTGGGTCCCCCCCCCCTTGAATAAAGATTTCTGAATGTTCTGGCGTGAAGCCAATAACTAATCTGCACTTGTTAAAAATATTACTCAATGAAGAGACACATCCAACAACATTATAACCATAATCAATTCTGTCAGTTTAAATACAATTTCCACTAGACAATTAAAAATGGAAAAACAAAACAGTAAGAACAAACAGAAGAGGTAGATGATAAATTTTCTACTTTAAAATTGAAAAAACAAACATCTGGATAAATAAAATGAGAAAATGTAAGAACAGATCAGATTTAGAATTCAATCACTTTGTAATGAGATAAAAGGAAAATATTTATCTATCAATGAATGAAAGATAAATTTTTTTCCTACTTATATAAAAGACTCCCAGGTCGACCCAGCCTTGAGTGGGTACCGGGCGCAGTCCTGGGAAGTAAAGGCGGCCAGCGTGATGTTGACCACATCACCCATCTTGTGCCGATAGGTCTATAAAAATGTAGGTCTAGCCCCATATGCCCAAAGGCGTGGAAAAGGGAACGTTACCTTACTTTATATAAAAGACTACTAGTAGCAGTACTTTGAACTACAGTTTTTTTGGCTGCACATGACTTCTATATATAATTTGTAAGAACATTTTACACAACTCAGAAATCATTGAATAAAATCAATTATACAAAATCTGAAGCTAATAACGTGCACGTTTCACACAAAAAAGTAATGTTAGAAATATGAATGTAACTGTACGAAGTGAGGCTGAATTTACCTCAGTTCACTACATACACAATAAACTCATAGAAAATTCTCATAAAGTACTAATATTGAAAAAATAAATAAATAGCTGAGTATTCTTTTCAGGACATTGCAGAACCAACCCCAGCATCTGTTGGCTGTTTCATTTACCAGGTCATTTTAAATTCAGTAGTTTGCCACTGATTTCTAAATAGCCACCTCTCGCTACCCCTGTTGGAATCAACACAAGGCGATCTGCTGCCAATTTTCACACAGCTCTAATTTTCTTCTTCTTCTTTTGTTCGCTTGAAACTGATTACCTATATCTGCAAGCTTGTGCAGCTAGAACTTCTTCTTCTTCTTTGCGTTCACCAGCTGTAAACTCTGGTGGAAAGTTCTGGTTGTTCGTCCAGTTCTGGACTGCAGTCCTGTTCCAGAACCTAAGTGCATCCGTTTGACAGATCTGACACACTTGTGTGCAGACTGTTGGTTCCTTGCCTCTCAGGAAAATGCACTCCGACTTTGAAGGAAGCTCCCAATTAGCTTCCAACATGCTTTTGGGCAGGCAGTGGGTCTATTCTTGTTTTCCCTATAACAGGGCCCCGGAACCCACACGGGGGCAGCTGGAACTGAACTTGTACTTCAGAATTTCAAAGTGTACTCCCAATCCTAAGCCACAGTCGCTGACGGAAGTACTAATCAAATATTCAACAAGTCTGGGTTGACCCTTGACCCATACTGATTGGAAATACAAATCCTGCCAGAGCTGGGGGATTAAACTAGACCATTGTCTCGGCAAGCAAGTGCACTAACCACTGTGCCACAACATCTCCATGTATCCTAAGATATACATCCCATGTGAGTTATGGGGCACCATGTTGAAGAAAATAATAACACCCCCCCCCCACCCTTTCCCCTCCCAACAAGCACATCATAAAATGCTTTTTAAACTGGTGTGCATCTGAGAGGCAAGGAACCAACAGTTCACATACAAATAAGCCAGATTTGTAAAATCAACATGCACAAAAACTCCGGTTCTTGAACAAGACCACAATCCAGAAGCGAATAAACAACCAGAACATTCTGCTGGTGTTTACTGCTGGTGAACGTGAAGAAGAAGAAGACAAGATATATTACATGCACTTTTTATTTTGCACAAACAATTATTCTCTTGAAAAATAACTCATAGTCAAAATAAAGGTAAAAAGATGTATAACAAATGTAATGAGGCGCAGACGGATCATTATGGTCTAAGGAGAATAGCGCTGCGAGGAGTTAACAGGGGATCTGGCCGATGCTCAACACTCAGGGAAGGAATGAGACGGATATACAATCAGACGCTTACTGGTACTATCGGAACTGGAACTCTACTCTTGCTGCTGAAGATGGGGACAGAGCACTCATAGGAGTGTCCCGAGTGCCGTGATGTCAATTCTTTTTTCAACATACATAATATCAGCTTTGCATTCAGGGCTCAAAATTAATGTAAATAATTTTCAATGCAGCAGCAGAGCAAGGTTTCATATAAAAAAAACTGTGCCAATAAATCTTAAAAACTCATGCAGCTGGCATGTGTGGAAACAGTCTACATGGTGCAATACAGAAAGTCATCTGAATAAAAAAAAATATTGCAATACACAGAGGGAACAAAAACACTTGTGCTGGGACAAATATTCAAGAAAATAATAAATAATATGACTAGATAGCCCTGCAGTAATAGATGTCTGTGAGATATGGAATGAAGATGGGGAGAACACTGAGCTCATAAAAAGAACTAAGAAAGAAAGTGTAAAATGAAGAAAACACTGAACTGAAAAGAAAACACTAAAAAAAAAAAAAATTATTTAATAACATGACTAAAAAACCTTGTTTCTAAAATTTGAATGTAAATCTGGTCATGAACAATCAATAATAATGCCTAGGAGTCTATCTGCACTGGAAGCATAGGGCTACAAAAGAAACAACAAAATAACAAGAAATATACATGCTTCCACCAGTGACCTCATATTAATATTTTGAGTTTCAAGCCTCTGTTTAAGCTTTAAAAACTGTACAAACAGCCAAAAACCAGATACGCAAGTTCGTCAACAGGGATTCACACTACTCGATCCAAAAACAGAACAGTGCTTAAAAAAAACAACAACAGCATAACAAGACAGGGGATCAATTCAACTTAGTATTTCCAAAAAGAAAGTGCAACAGAAAACAAAGTACGACCATGCATAAAAATAAGCTGTAGCTTCAATGTTTCTATCCTAAAGTGTGTGTGCTTTATTTAGTCTGAAGGGGTGGAAATACTACAATTCTAAGATATAATCAGTTAAAGTAACAAAGTTAAAGTTAAAGCCAAGGGGATCGACTTCATTGCATCAGGTTTTATCCAACATGGCTCGGTCTCTTGCTGGAGAATGCCTAGCCATCAGCCGAGAGTGTCGCACAAGGCATGAACTCCATAGCTTCGAAGACGATCACTGAAGATATCAGTAAAAATTGTGCTAACAAACTGACCTGTGCAGTCATGAAATGACCCCATGATCCACAAAGCGGAAGGCAAACAACCTGAGCACTTTGCCACAGAAATCCCGTTGTTAAAATAACAACTATGATAGAATCTGTTATAGTAACAGAAGTATACTACAATGCTGTTTGTCCATCACAAGTGATAAGGAACACACTTGCTTTCATCTGTCAAGAAACTGCAGTTGATTGACTTATAAGCCCAATATGGGCCACAAAGGATCTAGAGCAATGGGGGCAGGGAACAGTGTCTGTAGGTAAAAGGCCTGTTATACGGGTCTTTCTAGCCTGTCTTCGCTGTTCAGCTGCCTCTTTTCTAGAGAGAGAGAATTTATGTAAGTTAGCCTTCGATAAGTCCAAGTCTGGCACTAGTAGCACAGTGTTTGAATGAATATGCAGTTTATAATATGTTTCTTAGCAGTCACACTTATGATTGGATATCCTAATAACGGTGTCAGTTGGCATACAAGTCCACTCATGTTCATTTAAATCCCTTTAATGTGATATATAACTGATTACATGTTATTATACTGTAATATCTGTTAAATATAATGTTAAAAATGTTTTCTCAAATCTCTTAAGTTAAAAAAAAATTATTGGTTTGTTGGTATCTTGTTTCTTCTACCCGATCTATTCTCCTGTCCTCTGCAAATATGATTGCTAGATAAGGGTGTGACAGGTGTGAACAGCAGGTATCCATTAAATTCCCACATTTTAAATATAATCTTTTTTCTGAGTTTTTATAAGTCCTCATGAAGTGGGTGCTGGGGGTCCGACTTCACCTTGAGGAAAGCAGCGGTCCTAGACAGCTTGACTGTGTTTTCCACTGTGGGGGAAATCCAAGAGGTATTGCATGCATCTAAAGCAGGTGTCCCTAGCGCATCCAAGAATTATATGCATTGCCTCATTTTCAATTATTTTTTCAGTCTGTTTATCTGTGTGTTGCTGAGTTTCATTATGGCCAGTGCATTTTTAATGATGGAGATAACTTACCTCAGATATAAAATTACAGTTAGCAATTACTCAAAGTTTGCAGCCGTCATAACTTTTACTGCAGAGAGACCTTACTTGGTTTTGGTTATAATGTGGTCTACAGATTTTTTAAATGTAAGGCATCTATCATATGCTGTACCCAGGTATTTCAAGGAATCAGACCTCTCTACATCAGCGCCAGAGTTTTACCATTAGCATTGGTGTTTTGAAAAGATGTTATTCAGCAAGAGCCAGGTGACTGTGGCTTCAGACAGA